CAGTAAGTGAGAGGTCTTGTCATGTCTCTATGAGTTTTTGTATCCATCTGCAAAATCAAGCACTGTGTTTTGGTTTTGGTCTTGTCTTAATAATGCAATCACATCTAGTGAAAGCTACAAAATCTCTAAGAATCCTTTAGAAATCTTCAAAGAACAACAACAAAGGATTCAATCTAGAGAATTGGTTCTTGCATTATTAGTGTCTGAAAAATGAGCAGAGTGAAACATGAGAATAAGGTTCTTGTTGCTGTTAAAGCATCTAGAGAGATTTCAAAGACAGCTTTGGTTTGGGCTTTAACTCACATTGTTCATCCTGGAGATTGCATAACTCTGATTGTTGTTGTTACTTCTCAAAACTCTGGTAAATTTTTTACTTCTTCTTTTGGTTACTAAATCATGGAGATGAGTTTGGTATGTTTAATTCGTTGTTATGATGAAATTTTGTTTAGGTCGAAAGCTATGGACTTTCCCGAGGTTTGCTGGAGATTGCGGTGGAAGTGGTCATCGGAAATCGAATTCTGATTCAATTCCTGAAATAAAGAGTGATCTTACTGATACTTGTTCTCAAATGATTCTCCAACTTCATGATGTTTATGATCCAAACAAGGTTCCTTACTTACTTTAGACTATCATCAATATAATGTCATTCTAAAAACAATACTCATGTTTGTTTGTTTCTTTGATAGGTTAATGTCAAGATCAAGATTGTTTCTGGATCACCATGTGGAGCTGTTGTGTCCGAGGCGAAGATATCAGAAGTAAATTGGATAGTTCTTGATAAGTAAGTAACTAAGCAAATTTGGTTTGTTTTCACTCTCTATGTGTGTGGTTGAATGGTGTTCTTTTTACAGGCACCTTAAGCAAGAAGAGAAACGTTGCATTGATGAGTTACAATGCAACATTGTGGCGGTGAAGCGTTCTGAGGCGAAAGTTCTTCGCTTAAACTTGGTCGGGGATCCGACAAAGGAACCGGAATCAGCATCTGAAAAGAACAAAAACAAGCAGTTAGATTCAGTTAAAGCGATAGTTACAACAACTCCTATTAGTAGTCCTGAAGTTGAGACACCATTCACAGGAACAGAAGCTGGGACTTCATCAGTGTCTAGTTGTGAAATTGGGGCGTCGTCGCCTTTTTTCACGGTGGAAGTGAAAAAGGAGGAAGCTTTGGTCATCAAAGAGAATGATGATGAATCCGGTTATGATTCAGAGAGCGAAAACTTATCTTTATCTTCGACAAGTATGAGATTTGAGCCTTTGATATCAGAATATCTTCACACTCATCGCCTTTCGTTACAAGAATCAGAGGAAAGTCAAGTGAAAAGTGCTGCACAAGTATCTACTAAAATGGCTTTGGTTGAGTTTAATGGAGGAGAAACCGAGATTTCGAGTAAAAGGAGTGACTTGGAGGAGTTTAGTGGAAACTTAAGACAAGCAATGTCGCTATCAAGAAATGCTCCTCCGGTTCCACCTCCTCTATGTTCTATATGTCAGCACAAAGCGCCCGTATTTGGGAAACCGCCAAGGTTTTATTTATACAAAGAGTTAGAGCTTGCAACAAATGGGTTTTCCCAATCTAATTTCTTAGCAGAAGGTGGTTTTGGATCAGTTCATCGAGGTGTATTACCGGGAGGCCAGATTGTAGCAGTAAAGCAACACAAACTAGCTAGTACTCAAGGAGATGTAGAGTTTTGCTCTGAAGTAGAAGTTTTGAGTTGTGCTCAACATCGGAACGTAGTTATGTTAGTCGGTTTTTGCATTGAAGAAAGTAGAAGACTCTTGGTCTATGAATACATATGCAATGGATCATTAGACTCTCATTTATACGGTACAAATCTTATTTAGAGTTTCAAGTTAGTTAAGTTAACAAACTCGTAACTCAAGTTAGCTAAGTTTCATGAAATGTACATTTAATTAGGTCGCCATAAGGACACTTTAGAATGGCCTGCAAGGCAAAAAATAGCGGTTGGAGCGGCTCGAGGTCTTCGATATCTTCATGAAGAGTGTAGAGTTGGTTGCATTGTTCATAGAGACATGAGGCCTAACAATATACTAATCACTCACGATTATGAACCACTGGTATTTATAGATTTATGGTTACAAAGTTTAAACTTTTTTATTCATACATTTATTTGATTCTGGTTTTGTTTTTTCTGTTAGGTTGGAGATTTTGGTTTAGCGCGGTGGCAGCCTGATGGAGAGCTCGGTGTAGACACACGCGTGATAGGAACATTCGGGTAACTAAAATCATTACATTCTCTAACTCAAGAATACTACAATTACTTATTATGTTTAGTTTTGTTTAGCTATTTAGCTCCAGAATATACTCAAAGTGGACAAATCACAGAGAAAGCTGATGTTTACTCGTTCGGAGTCGTATTAATCGAGCTAATCACGGGTCGTAAAGCCATGGATATCTTCAGACCAAAAGGACAACAATGTTTAACTGAATGGGTAAATACAGAAGTTTCTTCTTTTAAGGTTTTTTTAAAGCTCATTTTTGAGTTTCTTTGTTTTTGTTTTTGTGAGCAGGCAAGGTCTTTATTAGAAGAGTACGCGGTTGAAGAATTGGTTGATCCGAGGCTCGAGAAGCGATATTCAGAAACCGAAGTGATATGTATGATTCACACAGCTTCATTGTGTATACGTAGAGATCCAAATTTACGTCCTCGAATGTCTCAGGTAAAGATAAAAATCACAATTCTTGAAACATATTCATGTTTAAGTCAAGAAACTTTCTTAAG